AGTCCATGTTTTCCACCATTGCAACTCAAAAAACATAGTATATCTATTAAAAACATAGTAATTTTAAACAAAGAATCAAACATAAACAAACGAAAAAATCAAAGAATCAATCTTAATTGAACAAAACAACCATACTCTAAACCAACACCCTAGGGTGCCAAAATATTTTTTTTTTATGTAAAAGAATTATAATGTGTACTGAAAGATTGCTAAGTTTTGTGAAGATATACACACTATATTAAAGGTTAGTAGTATCAAATCTATAAAGACTGAGTACAAAGAGGTCAAGTGGTCAGTCAAATTGACCTAGCTCGTATTGAGAGAGTTAATGATTTCATTTTCATTACACAATGAAAATTGGATATCCTCTTGATATAGTTAGCATTTTTCATATCCAGCAACTTAATCATTATAGCTCAAGTTTTATTTTTTTGGTAAACTACAGCTACAAGTTGATTGGCTAAGAGAAGGAGCTGGTGTAACTTTACTCAGGGGTGAAATTCTCAAAAACAAAAGTAGAGGTACTCAGCTGGGTGATGTGGACCTGCTTTTGAAAGAGACAAAAAAATTTATGTGTAAAGATAAGAAACAATAAAGCAGCTCAAATAAGTCCCAGTACTAGTACTGCCTTAAAAAATAAGTCTTGGTACTCAGTATTGGTGAATACTGGCAGAATTTCACACCTGACTTTACTTAATTTGACTTAACAAAGTTTTAGAGCTCTAACATTGTAGATTAAATATGGTTTTAAACTTAGGTGATGAAGTTAGACCAAATGAATAATTTTAATCTTGTTTTAAGAACTTTTGCATTTTTTTTTGTCGTAGTCATTTTTTAAAAGTGTTGTAATTTTTGTTTCAAACAACAGAAGCAGCTGAATCAATCATAGGTTTATAGGCAGGGATAGTTTAAGGCTATTCTATTGTGAACCAAACCACTTAATTCTTATCTAGATATTGTACTCATTCTTAATGTATAATGTTGCATCAGTTAAGGAAGTGGAACAGAATTTGTTACTGAAGTAACAGTAATGAAGCTTCGTGTCATGTAGCTGTCAACCTGACAAGAAGTCTATTTGTTGAGAGCACTGTTTTATGCTATATAAATAATTCTAGGTGCTAATTATGTAATAGCAGAAGAGTTGCTAAAAACCTGCAATAACAATTAATAATGAATAATTTTAATTAGGGATAGCAGACAAACTACGAAAAGCTTTTATTACCACTTTGCAATTTGTCATCAGTTGGGTGCTCTTGCTGCTAGTGGTGTTTTTTCCCTGAAACCAAGAAAACATGATGAGTTTGGGCCTACTTATTGAAATTATTAAGAACTGAAGCAAAATTGTGACATGTTAAGCTCCATGGGTCATGCCTATCGCATTTGGCCAATATAATTTTCTGTTTAGAAAATTTAATATTGTGTATTAAATACTTCGAATACTCTAGATAACTAAAATACATATTGAAGTATTTAAATTCAGTACTTTAAGTTACTATATGTTACAGAAATACATATAAACTTCTATTTTATTAAGTGTCTTTCTTCCCGTTTATAGTTTCTGATCACTAGTCCTCGAATTAAACAAGTTTTTGCCATAATACTTGCTTTGGGGAATTACATGAATGGAGGTAAGTTTTTAAACTGAGACTACAAAGGTATTTAAAAATGCAATTTTATTTGTCTAATATTTCCTTGAAAGAAATGTTTAACAATTCAGTTTATGTGGTACTGTGAAATAAAAAATTAATTAAAGCATATGCTATTAATACAAAGTTACTATAGCTATAATGTTGTTTAACACAATGATTTAGTTATCCTCTTTTAGTGCCTTGGTTGTGTTTATACTTTGTGGAAAATAATTGTTTCAGTGTTGTCAGGTTGTTTATAGAAAATTAAAAAACAAGTAACAATACCAGTCAGTTGAAGCATAAATATAATTTTTTTTCCAACATAACATGTCATTAAAACAGTTGGATCCTGTTTTGTAATAGAGGTGCATTCAAATAATTAATATATATTTTTTCTATTATTCATTTAGGAAACAGAACACGCGGCCAAGCAGATGGATTTGGGTTGGAAATACTTCCAAAATTAAGAGATGTTAAAAGTAAGGTATGAAAAGCTAAAATGTAAATGCCAATTTTTGAAAGGAGTGTACTGTACAACTCAACATATTGAACACAGCAAACCAAAATTAAAACTAATTATATCTAATTAAAATGATAGAACAACCATATTAAACGTCTTATTGTTTACTACATTGATAAGTTGTTTAAGAACTATTATTCAACAACATTTGATGAATTGTGCTTAAAGTTGAGAAAATTATTTTCATGCATTAATAATGAATGATGAATAATTCAAACAAAATGAAACTTAATAGTTCTTCACAAGACTATGCCATATAAAATAATAACACTAATACTGGTAAAGAATTTTAATTGCATAATTATTTGATATCCAAAAAAAGTTGATTCAGTTTCATAGCTTCCTAACTAAATACCAGAAACATACAATATGTATATCTTACTGTCATTTGTTTCCATCGAAGTGGATGCTTACTTTTAACATTAAAATTGGTATTTGGTATTATGTAAATAGTTTTATTATTTTGAAATTACTGATATTAAACATTTTCATTAATAAGAAAATATTTTTATTATGAAAAATATTTCTGTTGAAGTTCTTGAAGTAAATTGATATACTTATGGATTTAGTATAGAGTTTGAGTATGTTATATGAAAATGATTTTAGAGCCTTACCACATCATTAATTCCATATTACTTTGTCAGGCTATTTTCTTTTTGATGACTTGTTATCTTGATAAGAGCCCTACTGCGTAGTTTCCATTGCAAAAGGTTTTGTTGCAAGTCTTTCATGTATGAAGTCACACTGCTCCTCCCTATTGCTTTTCATTATCTACCTATTACACGAGGATGATGGTTTCTCATTAACCTTTTCAACAGTCCAATTGCACAAAAATCCATAGGAGCTATTTCTGGCAACTTGACCAGTATATCTTCATGGAATAGCATGAATGCCCATTTCATTCTCTAGGTGTTTGAGGTATGCATTAGCTGAACAGATACCTCATGAAAACAAACAGTACAATTAAGTATAAGGGATATCCTCAATCGGAAAATTCTAAATCTCAGATCTGAACATGTTCTTATGATTTGAGTGTATGAATATTTTGTGTCAGAAAGGGCTTTTACATACCATAACCAAAAATGATAAATTTTTGGTGGCATCACACTACCTTTGAAATGCCAAACATTGGCAAAATGTATTTTTGATACTTGATACTCTAATACTCTACCATGACTTTATATTGGCTGTAGCTTTTACATAACTTGCAGATTTGAATGTTCAAAATCATTTTAATGTAATGTACTCAACCTTTTGTATATTAAATGAATGAGAAATACCCAAGTAGTTAATACTATGTCCTTTTTTTTCTAGGACAATTCCATGACCCTTCTCCATTATGTAGTCCAGGTATATGTCCACAAATATCAAAAGGTAATATCATATATATTGTTGAATATAGTAATATTATATAATATGTGTGTCCTGTGTGATAGTTTTTAGGACTATGACCTCAATAGAAATAATAATAAAAAAAAACTTATATCTGTAATATTGTATTTCTTGAATGTCTATTGCACAGACAACATTCTAGAACAACAGATGGAGTAAACACTTTTGAAACATGAGAATGGTGTAGCTGTTGGTGATGGATTGCCTTTGCTTAACAAACTACAGTTTTTAACTTTTTTTTCTATTTATAGAATGTTTTGTATATATATGTATCTTCTTAACTTAGCAATTAAATGTGGCTTTCAAATAACCTTGTAACCCAGAAAAGTTAACATTACAGTTTACTTAAATGATTTTCCTCTTCTGTGAAGTTCTATAAACAATCTATTAACCCTTTCACTACAGGTAGGTTTAAGTGCACATGTCATGACTTTTTTCAGAGTTAGAGACAAAATTTAATGAAACCACTTTATTATTAATGTATATGAATATACTTGGCATCAAACCATAATTAATATATCAAATCCTTATATTACATAAGTTTTAATTTTATAAGGAAATACTTAAAAAAAAGTCCACAATCTCCTTTACTATGAGAATTGTGACATTTGTTTTCTAGGTCAAAGGGCACGCGTCACAATGTTTAAAAGTTATTTTCAAAATTTAATTAAACAACTTTTGTATTAATGTATGTCAATAAAATATGCATCAAAACTTAGTTTGTAATCCATATTTTGATATTATATATGTTTTAATTTCTTAATTCAAAAGAAATATGTAAAAAATGTTTAATTTTTTTTGTGTCATATGACACATCCTTTTGTCTTATTTCTCAATTTATATTGTATTATGCCTACCACACAACGTTTATAGTGGTTAACAAATTAGAAACTCATATTTCAGAAACTGACAAGTTAGAACATAAGAATCTCCCACCTTTTTGATTTACTGAGATATCATTATATTTTAAAAACCTACCAGGGTGGTCCCTCCCACTGTTCCATTCTTTTGAAACCTCTTGTCTATTCATGCTTACTTCTCTTAACCTGTTACCTGCCGTGGTCATTTCATCTTATCGTGAGGGCAAAATCACATTTGTGAACTGAAAACATTATAGAGAACTTATCTTTTATTAGACTTCAGATTTTATTTTTGTAAATAGTTGCATAACATTCAATTATTTATACAAAATTGTATTATTTAATGAAATTTAATGAAAAAAATCCTAAAATATGTTTGAGACTGTAAATAAGTGCCCTCTAACAAGAAATTAT